TTGTTCATAGATTTACCTGGGAGTCTGTGTTATGTGCCTCTCATATAAGGAGTGCTTAATGGTTACTGCTATTCATTTTATTACTCAGGTTGAAGCACTATTTATCAGCATTTTATTCCACAGAGCCCGGGCTGGCTTAGATTTAAGTGGTTCACCTCCTCCAGCCCTGAATTCCTGAAATGGAATAGGACTTTAACGTAATTGTTTAGGTTTCCTCAGATTCATGGTGATGAGTAGACTTCCTGTTTTTTAAATGTTCCTGGGAACAATGACTAAATGCCACTCCTGTTGTCCTATGAATTTATTTAGCACAACCAAAGAGGAGCTCTTGGTGTCTGCTTTTCTTAGAGTTCTAAGTACGGACTGGGAGAAGAGAAGAGGGTAATGGGAGACTTTGTGAACACATAGAAGATGGGCAGGTGTGTGCAGAGCTGGACAGCCTCAAGAAATGCTGCAGCTGGAATAGAATTCTGGGGATAATCTTCATGAAAAATAATGTTTCTCAGCTCTCACACACTCACTTACGAGCAGAGCCCTGTGGATTTGCACCACTGATTAAGCAGACCTAGTTCTACAGCCTCGCTTCCTTATCAATGCCAAGCTTTCAAAGCAATTAGTGGCTTTTTTTCACAGCCTTATTCTAATATGTTCCTTAAGTGCTGCATGATTTAGAATTCCTTTCTGCAATGTTTCAAAGTATTCCCACCAAAATTTTCTCACAGAGTAGAGATTTTAGTGTATTTAAAGGAAGACAGAATCATATTCTATGCTTCCATTCAACACTAACTTCACCTTAATTTGGGAGATTTAGACTTATTTAAGCCCACGTCAAGGATCTATGAGCCTAATGCTGCATGCAAAGTTTAGTGAACGAAGTCATATTTGCCAGAAAAAGCAACCATTCTGGCAAGAAAGTTCATGCCTCGCATGAAACTCTCCAGAAGACACCTGACCCTAAATGTTCAGAACTGCCAAGACAGAGCCACTGAAATTTTCTCATAGTCAGGGCCTTGTATTTGCATGCTGCTGTCCTCACTCACTTTGGCATAGACATAACAGTAACTTGGGCCAAAGTCTTGTATAATTTTATTTTTTTTCTTTTTATTGAGTTTATTGGTACAATCTAGGTATACAATACAATTACATTCATCATTGGGATTCTGTACCTTTACATAATAGGTCTTAATTCTCATTTTTTCCCCTTGTCCCTGACGTCCCTTCAACCTCTCCTCCCCTCCCCATTTACAAACACTTTATTTCCATTTTTTCAGTTTCTCATATTTTTTTCCTCTCCTTCATTACTCTTCCCCCACCCTTCCCACTTTCCCTACACATTTAGCCCTTTACTTCCTATTTCACATTATTAATTATCTCATAAGGATCCTGTGTACTATTATAGTTTTTCACAACAAAGAAACTATTCGGTATTTCAGTTAAATAAATCTCTGTATGAACATTAAAAATAGTGAATCCTAAAATAAAACTAAAAAGGAAAGTAAAAGAGAAAAGACAATGATGTAACATTAAAATAATCCTTAATTCTGGAGATGAAAATGGTCTCTGAACATATTTAAATTGCTTCTCGTTCTTATGGTTTTATCTTATTCTTTTTTTCATTATTTAGATAATACTTTATTAGTTTCTGTAATCAAACCCACATAGATATGACCTTACATATTTAGTATGATGTGTTACCCCTGTACACATGGAAAAAAATAAAAAATAAAAATAAATTAACATTTCTAGGCCAATATGGTTGTCCATTTCTGTACAATGCCAAGTCAACACAGTAAATTGGGATGACTTTTTCCAAAGTTGGCAGCACCGTTAAAGTTTCCCAAAAT